GAATAGCTGAGGTGTACAAAATGAAACAACAAAATCGATAATGAAATGGAGGGGAATTCTAGAATTATATGCTAAATGCATATTTTATGATTTGCTGTATTAACTGATGATAAAACTAATGGCAGAAAAAAATTTGAACAATTCTATGTAATGTACAGATACTAGCATTGCACATGTAGTCTGCTTTCTGTTCCTCCAGAATTTGAGTCCTGTTAATGTAGTGGAAAAAAAAGAAATTTTCTTTTTCTTTCGTGCTGGTCTTGCAAGTTTGTCTACCAGTAAGAGAGCAAAGTTTCCTTCCTTTCTTCTTTTTTTCTTCATTTTCTTTCTTTTTCTTTCTTTCTTTTTTTTTTTTTTTTGCCTTTTTTTTCTTTAAAATTTCACATGGCAAAAAATAAATAAATAAATAAAATAAATGAAGCTATCACTTTATAAGAATCATTTTCTAGTAATGCAAACAAATTATTTTTTACAAAAAAAATAAAATCAATAAAATTAGACTTCCTTCCCTCACTATATATCTTTATTCAGTCAGAATATTTCCAAGAACATTTTTGCAATTAGAGCAGGAAGAACTTTTCTGTTTACAGTGCACATCTGTTGTAATGCAAAACATATTTGGCAAGCAGTTCATCACTAAGAGAGTAGCTATGATTCTAGAAGTAAAGAGCTGTCATTAGAACTAGTGGGGCTTCTGCATGTGAGAAATGGTATCCCATGGGTGTGAAAGTGCTGAATGCTCAGTCTGTTCCCCAAGTGGGCACCTGCACTACCAATTTTTAAAAGAAATTCACTCCCTCTTAGAAAGAATTGAAAGATCAATTATTTTGAAGTGATTTTTAAAAAAACTCTTCTGTTTATTAACAGGAAAATTTATTTATTTGACAGGATTTTAAGTAATGTAGGAATACAAGAGGTAAATTAGCAGCACATATAATTTTTTTTAAATTTATGATCCATTTTGTATGGTCTCAAAGTTGGATGACCTCATTACTAATATTTGTTGTAAAAGTGAAACTTGTTTGCCAACCAATAAACAACTGATTGAGATTTAGAAGATACTGTATTGATGTATGTACTATATGATTAATTATTCTTTTCATTTTTCTCGTCTTTCCTTCTTTTTTCAATATATAAACCTTGTTAATCCTCTATGGCCCAAATGAGCCATGCAAAAGAAATCAACCTGCCTAAACTAAGCACAGAATTATACAGTTTTTGCAAAGTAATCCAGAAAAATGGGATGGGCATGTTTATGTTGGCTGAAATAAGATGCATAACGTACTTTCGAGCAGGTTAATATATAGGTTACTATGTGCTTATTTATAAGCCAACTGCAGTCACACGGCTTATTATAAATAAGTCAGCTTCAGTCAGAGATTTCAGTATTGAACTGGGGAAGGGGGGGATCATATTTTTTCCTCCCTTGTATGCTTCGTTTTGATGTTGGATATTAAATTCACTCAATTGGCTAAAAATGCAAGAATAATGGCAAGGAGAATATCCATTTTGTAAAGATGGTACTATAAGACAGTTTTTTGCTAATTTTTTGTTTTTCTATATATGGATAAAATGGGAGGGAAAAAGTCCTTTTAAAGAAACTTTCTAGATCTCCAATTACTGAAGAATCTTTACCAGCAGTGTCCAAGCATGGAGATCCTCCCAGGACAAAGTTAGAATGAATTTGCCAAATTGTAATTTCTGTTATATTATGTGATATCTTGGCAATTTCTTTTTCTTTATTTTTTCAAAAAAAAATTAAGCACCAGCCACTTATAAATGAATTTCTTAAGACTAGAAGGAGTAGTTTAGAGAATAGCCAGTAATCTACACATACAGTTTAAAAATATATAACAAAAGAAAAAAATTCTGTGCTGGGCCAGAGTACATCATAACCTTAAATTAATATCACCTCAAAATATCTTATGCACCATTCCTTTTTAGTCATTTGACATAAGTATTTTTTAAGTCTACAGATTTTCTCTAAGTTGCAGGAGAACCACAAGCTTTAATAGTAATTAGGTTTTCTCATACCACATATGGCAATATTAGCACCTGAAAGGTGGTTAGCCTATCTGTTACATAGAATACATTTGGTAATGAAAGAATCCTTTTTAGACATGTTTAAGGTAACTTCAGAAACACAAATGTAGTCTGTGGATTTATGAGTATTTATGCTAGTTTTGCCAATCCAACAGTAATCTATATGAAAGCAGCTCCATCAATAAGAAGCTAGTTTCACAGAATAATGGGGAAACTACCTCAATTCAGCTTGCTGATGCTGCCGATTTTCTGCTATTGCTACCTCCCTGCCCATTATCTTTTGTGTTTCATTATATGGAAATTTGAAGCCAATAGCTTCCCAGCTCTACATAGTCCAAATTGAAGAAAATCACTTGAATACGTAAACTGGTATGGAAAGCCATTCAGTCCTGTTAGTTACTACCAAGTTCTTACATCAAGATGAAAGGGTGAGATTTTTGAACTTGCATACATAGTAATTGGTGTGCTTTCAGCAAGACTTAAGATCCCAAAGACCTTCACATGAAGATATTATTCCCCCAAATTCAATGTGACTATAATGAAAACAAAACTGAATGAAAGTTAATTATGTATACATTTCAATAGAAATTTGTGTATGTCTAACATGTACTCATTTAGTCCTCTTTACACTAACAAGGGTTGAATTCCTGAACTTGAATCTTTATTACATGCATTTTCATGTGTAGCAACTGATAAATTAATAACTTTAAAATTTTCTCATTTTTTGCCATTTTGGCTGTCTCTATATTTGCAATACCCTGTGACATTCATGACCTTATTTGCATATTTCTGATGTGTTTACCTGATTTTCCATTAAGAAGTAAACTTTCATCAAATATACTATACATACATAGCACATTATTTGGATAGCTGGAAGTAAAAGTTATGTCAATGAAACAAATTATTATTTCCAAGTAAAATAATATTTTCATAACATTTTACACTTTTTTTTTCCTCTTTGAGGTCTATTTCACTTGATACTTTATTAGGACACTAGCTAACAAACCTCATGTTATTTGATTCAGAAGCTGTTGGATTGTTGCACAGCTCACATTCCTAACTGATAATATTTATGGAGAAATATAAATTTTGTGAAGGAGAATAGGCTGGAATTCCAATTCAATTTTTGAACATCCCTCTTTGTTTTCACTCTACTAAAATTAAAAATACTATACTTAAATAATAATCGCTCTGCTAAAATAATCATAATGACAAAAAAGAACTGACATGAGGACAATCTTCTTGAGATAAAAATAGTGGGGAAAATGTAGTAATCAAATTCAGGTAATGGAAACCCCTTAACTTCCTGTAATACAAATTCACAATGACTTAAAATGTAGTTTATTATGTGTATTTTTAAATTCCCCATTAATCTAAAAATGTTGACATATTGATGAAAGGTCTTTAAAATTTCATATTGTAATTTTTTAATATTAACTTGGTGTGACATGTTTTCATAATAATGGAGATAAGTGAATTAGTAATTTTATAAAGAACCCATAGACGTAAATTTAGGCAATATCTTCAGCTTTTCCCCTCATGCTTGTTCAGATCCATTGACTAATTTGCTTATTTTTTGAAAATGACATTAAAAACTTCAAAGACTGACGTTTTGCTCAATTATAGAGACCAAAAGGGAGAGGAAAAATATTTCTTCTGGGTTGTCTAAGGATCAACTGCAAATTAATCAATCATCACCTCCTACTAGTGAAAGAATGATTCATTTTTAGAAGTTGTCCATCAGTAGTGTACCAAAGTGCTACTGCTTGGGGCATTCTTCAAAAAACACAAAACACTGAAGAATTGCAATGCAGTCAATTAAAATTTGGAGAGAGAGAAATTTAGAGAGAGGAAAAAAAAGAACCCAAACCCTAATTTGATTTTGAGCAATTCTGAAAATATTGACATGAATGTCCTTTCTTCTCTAACAAAAATATTTTAGATAAAATAACAATATGTACAATCTCCCCAGTATATTACAGTGTCAAGGTATTAAGAATTAATTAGTTCACGTTTAGCAATTCATAACTCACCACATAGATAATTCTTATGCATTTCTAAGTAATACTTTAAATATATCTCATGTTAGATTTCTGCACATCAGTAAATTAGGAACATGGAAGCACAAGAGTGAAGCAGCAGCTTTGCAAAATAGTTTATGGAAGAATTTTTGTGCAAATGAATTCTACATGAGACGCATCTTTGACCTTATAAAATAGATTCGGTGGATCCAAACTGTAAATTCAATTTTGTAATCAGCAAATAGGTCCTTATTAAACCATCTGGAAAATATTGCTAAATATCTAAATTTTCATTTCTAGACTAGAAGAAGTTAAAGTGTTGGTAGCTGCTTCTTTCCTGCTTAGGCTGTAAGAGGACTCTTTCCTGTTTTCTAATTAACCTGATTACTTCTTCTTTGCTTTAAAAGGGAAATCAATCTTCAACTTTCACCTATACACACACTTACATACTCTATTACTTTTATTTCCAGCCTGCAAAGGAAATAGCTTGTTTACATTATTGCAAACTTCGTGATTTTTGCAATGAAACAGGTAGTTATTATGATTTTGCATATTCTCATTTGAAATAAAATTATTGCTATTCCCTCTTTTAAAAGTTAAAAGTCAGCACTTCTTTAACATCTAGGATCTTTGTTATTATGCAGATGTCTTGATTTCACCTATGTTGTGATGTTTCTTTCTCTCTCTTAATATTACATCACGCAAA